CTAGTCACTTTGTAGTTTTTCATTTTTCGTTTTTCTTGAAGGCTTAATTGTATCATAGCTAGTTATTAATTTACCTTATATCTTAGATTAGTTAACAATTTAAGCAGGATTACACTGCAGCATTTCAAATAAATTATAGTCAAATTTCTCTATAGTTACATTCATTTATAATATATTACTTTATAATTATCTTATTTTAATTTTCTATTTACATATAAATATAATAAAAAAAATCTCTCTATAATTATCAAATTTTGCTTTTCTAAGAGTGATAATTATAAAGAAATTTAATTATATAATTAATAAAAATAAACTAATTATTTGTTCAATAAAAATATAGTAAATAAAATATATTATAATAATATGATTTTCAATTATAATATGATTTTTAATTATACTATAACTTTCAATTATAATATAATTTTTAATTATAATATAATTTCCAATTATAATATGATTTTTAATTATAATACAATTTCTAATTATAATATAATTTCTAATTATAATACAATTTCTAATTATAACATAATTTCTAATTATAATATAATTTTTAATTATAATACAATTTCTAATTATAATATAATTCTTAATTATAATATGATTTTTAATTAATAGAAATATAATCATTATATTATAATTATTTAACTAAATTAATTTGATTATAATGAATATAATTTTATTACATATATAATTTGAATTATTACAGTTAAACCTTTCTATAGTTACATCTATTTATAATCACACACCTCTATAGTTACTCTATTTTGCTTTTCTATTTATATATAAACATAATAAAAAAATCTCTCTATAGTCACATTCTCTCTATAATTATCAAATTTTGCTTTTTCAAGAGTGATGACTATAGAGAAGTTTGACTATATATTATTAGAATTAATTGTTAAAAATTAATTTGTAATTTTATTAATATTTACAATTATTTTTTATTTTGCAAGATTAATAAAATAAAATTAGTATAATTTATTTCTTTATTATCTATATTTTTAGTTACTTAGAGTTTTTAATGAATTTCTTTATAATTGATTATTCAAAAACTTGTTTTCACTATTTATTAGTATTAAAGTATTATTTATTATAATTAAACTTAATATTTAATATTTTTTATTAATTTTAATTTAGTATTATTTTAATACTTCTTAATAATTAATATATAATATCTAATATATTTATATTATTTGTTAATATAGTCAAATTCTCTATAATTATATCTGTTTATAATTATATTTTTTTATATTCACTCTATTTTGCTTTTTTAATTACATATAAATATAATAAAAAAATTTTTTTATAATTATATTCTTTTTATAATTATCAAATTTTGCTTTTTTGAGAATAATAATGTTAAAAAAATTTAATCATAGCTAAATAATAAATAAATTATATAACAAAAAATAATAAATTATTTAATTTTTAAAAATTAAATAATTTAACTAATTCTTAAATAAAAACTTTATAATTTGATAATATTATATATTTTATTTTTAGATAAAATAATAAAAATATTAATAATATTAAATTAAGATTTTTGAGTTATTTTTATAAGTATTTGCAAAAATTAATTAATTGCAAAAATTAATAATAAAAAACTAATTAAATATAAAATTAGCAAGTTAAAAATAATTAAATAAATACAAATAAAACAAATACAAATTATATACTTTCTTAATAATATTATGTGAAAATTATTATTTGAAAATTTAGTAATAATATAATATTTAATATAATTAAAATAAATATGCTATAATATTTTTAATTTTATATCAAAATAAAAATAATATTACATATTTTAATGTAAAATTAAAAAATTTTTATAAGATTTATATAAAAAAATATATTTTTTATATCTTTACTATATTTTATTAATAAATTTTTTTGTTGTTGCATTTTTTTTAATTGTTATTATATATTTTTTTTATAAATTATTCAATTTGGTTTTTTTAATTATTAACTAATTACAATTAAAATATATTTTTTATAATTATATTTTTTTATAATTTTATTTTTTAAAAGTAATAATTATAAGTAAAAAAATTAATTATAATAGATTTATAAAGAATAATAAAATTTAATAAGTAAATCACAAATTATTAATAATTTTTTATTAAAATTATATAAATTTATATATTTTTATATAATAAAATTTATTAATAATTTTATTCAAATTTATTTAATTTAAGTTTTTGATCTAAAATATAATTATATAATAAAAAATATTTATTTTTATATTAAATATTATAACTTAAAAAATTTTTTTCTTTCTTGAAAATAAATTTGTAAAACTATAATTTAATATACAGTCAAACACCTCTATAGTTACCACGTAACTATAGAGAAGTTTAACTATAGTTAAATTTTTTATAATTACTTTATTTTGCTTTTTTATTTATATGTAATATAAATACTTAAAAATATTAAAAAAATTATAAAAATTATAAAAATTATACAAAAAAACGTAATAAATTTGTTTAATTACAAAATAATAATTTTTTTATTAATATTATTTAAAAATTTACTATTTTTGTATAATTAATAATTAATAATTTATAATTATTTAGATAATTATAAATTATATTTGATTTATATTTGATTTATATTTTTAAGTTATTTATAATTAAATTATTTGATATATAATATATAATTTATAACAATTACATAATTTTTTGGCAAGTAAACAGAAATTGATTTTTGATTTATTAAATTCTGTTTGATTTTTGAAATTAAAAATGAAATAAATTAATTAATTATATAATTAATATTTCAGTGTATAAATATGATAAAAAAATCTCTTTATAATTATATTTTTTTATAATCATCCAATTTTGCTTTTCAAGTATAATTATAAAGAAGTTTAATTGTATTGTTACAGTTGAAAATTGGTATTATGATACAAAACTAAAAGATTAATTTTGAAATCATGATTCTAACTGGCAAAAATCAATTATTTATCCTCAATTTCTAAAATCATTCAACATTTTTATAGCAGAATATAGTATTAGAATTAGCTACGTACATGTATTATAAATTATGTGATATGTCAAAAATGCTAATAATAAATCTATTTTGTTCCTGTTGCGATCCATATTTTTAGAATGGTTGATGCGAATTTTATAGAATGGGCTAGCTAGTAAAGTATTATCTGGTAAAGAGCATGAAACATCAAGATTTTCTCATTGCTGGTACAAAGTAAGATATTATTCATTATATCAAAACAAAAAAAATAAATCATGATCTTTAACTTTGGCTTTGACAAGAATAATGCATGACTAGCATTCATCCGATTACTGAAGTTGCAACTGCCAATGCCCAGATAGCAATAAAATATTGCCACATCTGAAGCAGCAAAAAATTCAGCTCAAACTGCAACCGCTAGCGCGTTATTGCAAAATAAATACCCAAATGCTCGTTTATTCAGTATAAATAAACAAAATGAAGAAAAAACTAAATTAAACCCCCCCCCCCCCAAAAATTAAATAGTGCTATCTAATTTATCTTGAATCTTGTTTGCGTATAATTCAAATATGCCAGACATCTCTTCCCATTTCAATTTTAAGTCGTTCGCACCCACTTCATCGATAATTTTTTTATCACCAAATTCTTCTATACTATCTATCTCTATTTCAATTTCTTCCTTTTTCATTTTAGCTTCATTAGCTAAATGTCTCCATACGTTTTCAAATTGTTTTGTATTATAAAGTGAGATAACTATTTTATCAATCATTGATTTAAGTACATCAATTTTAGCATCGACTTTTACAATTTCTTGTCCCTTATAATCAGCTTTCTTTTCTACTCCTTTCTTGGCTGCAAGTGCTGCTGCTGTAGCAGTGACAGTAGTAGCAGTAGTAGCAACAATTGCCTCGACTGCAACTACTTCGGCCACAATCAAACTAACACCAGCTGTCAATGGCGCAGCAACTATCGCTGCAACTCCAAGGGCAATAGACGCATTTCTCCAATGTTTGGCAGAGTTGCTTAATCGTTGATTCTCGGTTTCTAACGTTGCTTTTTGATATTCATTATCAAGGTTTCGTATGGTGCTTTCTTCCATAATACCGTTTAATTTTTGTAGGAAATTATCATATTCCTTTGCAAGGTCTCGCGTATGGTCGGCAATACGATCAGCTGATTTTATAAGAGCATCACACATTTTATTTTCCAATCCCGCGGCCGAAAAAGCTTCAATATAAAGTGCTATCTTGTTCGCTAAGTTAGCAGAAAGTATACTAATTGTTACACTTTTTTCAAATAATTCTCGGAGGACTTTGCGTTCGTTTAAAAAGTTCTTAACGAGACCGTCTGTTGCTTCGTCGCCGGTATTATTAAAAGAAAATTTATCGAACGCGTCGAGGGCATTTTGAATTGCATTATCATCAATTTGTGGGAGTCCTGGTATGTCAAAAATTTTAAGGCTCGCATTTTCGGGATCTTTAATATGCATTTTACTTGGATGCGATTTAAAGAGAATGTAATTTAATTTAAAGAGAATGTAATTAACTTCAAAAGGAATGTAATGTATTTAAAGAGAGTGTCAAAGTGGAAAATTCAATTTGGAACAGAAGAGCCTTTTGCATAAATAGAAATTCTGTGTGATTTAAGCTGAGATCTCGTGATGCATAGATTTGCATGCTAAAGTTCTCTAGATCGGGATTTTTTAATTGTTTTTCGATTTGCTTTTTATTTTAATGTACACAAACAGAAAAAGGATACCAATAAAAAAAATATAAAATCGAGACATTACTTTTTACGTTTCTATCTGATAATTATAAATTTAAAAAGAAATGAATCTTCACGACTCGGACATAATTCAATCTTTCAAAGTAAAAGCACCAACAACATCACGTGAAAACATTATAAGTATACAAGAAGAAATTTTCTACTCTCTCACCACTTTATCATGTTTTCCGTCTGAGCAAGTCGCAGATGACGATAAATTTTACGAAAGTGTCGTAACCGAAATAAAGGGCCAAGGACGACTCTTTAGAAAATTATTAAACGAAAGTTACTTAAATAGTAAAAGATCAACAAATTTAGCGAGCGAAATAATCGATTATATTCGTAGAATAGATTCGGCAGATTTGCAAGATGATAATGAAAAAAGTCGAATTTTTTACAAATTGAAACTTTCTTGCTCTCGGATTGTTGAAGAGTGCAAACAGCTAAGCAACGGGTATGAAGAGATTACCAAAAGCTTGGCAAAAATATACGAAAAATTACATAGCGCCAAACTTAAAAAAATCACCGAACATCATCGTTCTCGTGTATTTTCTAAATTTTGGATAGCGATAATAGTAAAAATGGTAAAAGCAATCGATCATTTAGGTGAAAGTTACGCGCCTGACTATTCAAATGATCCATTTTACAAGCTGCAATTAAGCATCATCAAGCACGCGCCATTCAGCTGGTTTTTATTTTTACCACGCTTTCGCAAGAAGCCATTTACACCCACGGATTTGGGATCTCCAAGTGAGAATTCGTTGCTTATTATAAAGCAACCTACATCCAGGGATTTGGAATCTCAAAGTGAAAATTCATTTGACGCGTTACTTGCTATGAAGAAATTACAAGATAATTTGGACACTATAGTTCAATTAGTAAAAGACTTTGAAAATTACTGGAAGACTATTAATAAACAGATAAACGAAACACCAGCTAGCACCCATTATTATTCTTTACCGAATCCATTGGTAAAAACTCTAGATCACTACCAAGTAAACCTAATTATTGAAGAGTGGGAAAAATTACATGAATTGTTTGAATCATATGCTGCAGATATTAATAAAGTTTTAGATCACTCTTTGTAAAAACTTAGATATTTTACTTATCGTTATTTATTCATTTTATAGTTTTATTTTTTTTAATAATTACGAGTTTTGTAAGATTAGAATAAAATTATTGAATTTACTAATAAGCACAACGGATATGACATATCTCATGTTCGCCTCTTATATATCACGCCCATACCTTCTACGATCATATCAACGACGATTATGATTACCCACTACCACTTCTTACCTTAAATTCTATCTTCGTTGAGAATCCAAATCAGCGGTATTTAAATATTACTAAGATTATAACGATAATGAGTCAAAACATCCTGTTTTGCAATCCCTTTCTCGTGTCTTGTCTGCATCCAATCGAAACAGCAGTTCCTCTGTATTTTGCCGGTAAATGATTATATATACGTATGTGGCAGATTTATGAAACCGTTATTGATCACAGTTGGTTAAATTCAATTAAGCATTATTAAACGACCCAAAAATAGAAATCAATACAAAGAGTCTAAAACCATAGTAAAACTAGCACCAAACCAAGAGTCTCACAATTTTCATTTGATATCATGATTAATGTTCATTTAATTATTATTTTTGTATCTAAATCTCGGCAATTACACGTCTGTCCAACTAAACTTTTCTATTTATGCGTCGTATTATTACAAAAGGAAGAATATTGTGTACTATTATGGTTAATGCAGAAAGCAAAACAATGCAATACCAACAAACGAAGAAAAGATTATATTTTTATATGAAAAAAATGATGCAATATCAAAAAAGTAGATAATGCTACTCGCTGTAAAACACAATAATCATTTTTATTTTTAGTAATATCATTAAAAACAAACCTTTTAAATTAGCACTATTCAATTTATACTTATTATGATTCATTGTGCAAATACTTTCTATACTATCTTCCTATCGATTTATACCAGATACATTTCTAAACTATTGAATGTATGGTGTATACTCTCTAAACTCAACAATAAATTGTATTTTTAAATTCAAAATAAACTTATTTATGTATTGAATTTTGTATTTACTTTTTAGTATGGTTCCAAAGTTCGGTTCAAGTTCGAGTCTAATTCGGTTTGTCGAGTCTAACCTGGAGATTTAATCCATGAGCATCGTTTAGGTCTTGTTGAGGGATTATAGGAACAACCAATCCATTCACATCTCGCTCAATTCCATCCTTTCGATCTTTGTAAATCTCGGTAAAATTACGCAGGTGGTGGAAGAACATACTATGAACGAAATAAACGATACTGTGCCGGATCCCTCGAGTTACGGGAAAATTTCCATGGAGTAGAAGACGGGAAGAAAATGCCACGACTTGTCCTGGACGAAGTGGAACGATAATCTGGAGTTGCGGGAAGCATAGTTCACCCCCCTTGCAAATCAATAAAAATGACGAAGGATAAGTACGTATACGCATCCCCAAATTCCATATGCGAAATGATGATTGATTGTCAAAAAAATATACATATTCGAATATTGTTTTATTGATAGAAGGGCGGGAGACGTGACACGCCAAAAATAAAAAATGTGCTAATCGTACGTCACACAGCTCCTATTCTTCGGCAAAAATTTTCCCGATATCGTACTGCGCATTTCAGGTGATCGATCTCATAACGAATCCGACAACACTACAGTCCCCTTCATCATATCCACTCATCATCCAATTCTGAATTACGTTCATTCTCGGAATCTTCAAACTGAGATCTCCCAGAGGAATCCCAACATTGCCCTGTGTTAGAATGGAATCATACTGTCACTGGGAAATAGATAGGCTTTAGCCCGGGGATACATGTTAACGTTTCTATGTTACTGATTGCAATCAAGCCTTGGTCAAAACATCTGAAATCATGTTTTGCAGGAATGCAGTTATTGCAAATTGATTTTTTTATTATTCAAAGCTATATTATTATCTTAAACGCGCTTGTTAGGCTGTACTAAAATAATTTGTTAGGCTGTACTAAAATAAGTAGCTAATAATAATCTTCCCATTTCGTAATATACTCACATACAGTTCCATTCTCGTCAAACCATCTCACCTGATCTACTCCTTTAACTAAGCGTGTTGATGCTTCTTCAGGAGAATTACCAAGTGGCCATAACATTTGACTCTCATTTTCCCATAAAAAAACACGACCATAACAGTCTAAAAAGATCATTCCATACTCTGTCTCTCCGATAATAATTATATGATCAAAGCCGAAATTAGCAACACATCTTATATGATAAATTAGTTCTTTAGGATCACTATCAAGAACTTCATAATCAACCAAGGTTGCAATACGAGAATTATCTTTAAATGCATCAACTAAGATGAGCGAATCGTTGCAACGCGACGTTCTTCCATTTTTTCCTTCACATAATTGCACTTGAGACATGGTTGTAGGATTTTCGGTATTTGATTTTCCTTTACTGGTAAAGCGATAGTCCGCGTGTACAAGGCGACACGTTTTCCCGGGGACAATATTTTTCCAACCATCGCCTCCCAGGGAACCGATTCTGAGCAGTTTCCCAAAGGATGCCTGCATTTTCCCAATTGTTCCAGTGTTAGGACATCCTTCACGTTCTTTGCCCAACGTAATATCTGTATTTTCTCCATCCTTGTATTTACTACCTCCGTTATCACTGATACTGATGGCTGACAACGAATCGACGAACCCATTATGAATTTCACATCTTTGCCTTTCCGTTTCGATACTTGATTTGAGTATGTGAGGTTCACTGTTGCCGGACGCAATATTGGATCTGGCTGTACTATCATTATACTCTGTGCTAAGCATTCCTGACTCTCGTATAGATATTTGATTTGCTCCTCTACTGTCATCTTCTTTGAGGGCCGATGCGCGTAACTCCAAAGGAGACACCAAGCATCGTAAACCGTAATAATTGGTATCGGTTGAAACTTGTCTAGGATACTGTTTTTCCTGTTGGACCGCAAGGTGTCAATTCCCCCTTCGTTCTATATAAAATATGATTTTTGAATTCGTTTAAGCTTTTTTTTTCCGCACTTTCTCTCCTTACCTGAAAGGCACCACGAAATCGGTAATCAGTTCCTTCTGCCATGGTTCATTTAAGTTATTTAACCAGCTGAACGAACTTGAGAAATAGAAATAAATATAGAATTGCTCACAGCCTCAAACTAGTGAACAGACTAAAGTCATTAAACATACTTTATTTGTCCACGGTTGTTGCCTTATATACAAATCGTGCAACAGAATAGCGGGATTAATGCTTAATAATCAAGCTTTGAGTATTACGTAAATCACGTGTAGAACTTATATCATACTTCAGAGTAGTTTTCATGTGATCAAATCCAATCATTTCACGAGGTCAAGCGTAACATAAAAATCGAGGAATCGATAATAACTCGAATTTTTATTATGGCTGTTGGTCACTAAGAAAAATGCTCAGCGTGGAAAGTTGCATATGCAGATGGCCTATTAAACCACAATAACAAGTTAAAAAAGGCTACAAGTCGAATACAAAATTTTTTTACGTAATAAATCGTATCACGTGAAGACTACTCCGCTTTAGCCTTCCCCCAAAAGGAATGTCTCGAAATCATTTGGAGCTTTTCCTACGGTCGCCATTAATTTTAGTGTGATCTGCCAATTTCATCGGATCACCGAAATCCTTAAAGGCGAAGAGTTGACTTTCCCTGAATTAAAATTAGTCGTGCATATTAAGCAAGCAGTGGCTTTTCGGTCTAATCAAACAAAAGCGGAAATTTGGCTCTCTTTTCGCTGATTACGACTTGGGTTGGAGTGGTAGAAGCAATGAGGACGATCCATCACCAAAATATCTTCCTCCAACGCTAGGTTCTGGAGATAACGAGGCGAAACTAAAAAATCATAGAAGAACGAATATAGGTATGTATAGGCGAGATAAAGTTCATCTTATATCTACGTATAGTCAAGAACTGATATTTATATTTTCCATTCATAGATTTGGAACCCGCAAGAAGAGGCTTACCAGCACAGTATAGGAAATAACGTTTTCACGGCGCAGAGTTAGTAATAAATACGCATCTAACGGGTTTTTAATTATGATTCATTTTCCGTATCAGTATACATTGTAAATATATCGGCGGAGCTGGCACGGCCAATAATTGTCATGCTAGCTCCAGTTCACGTCCGGTTTTTTTCGATGTTGGTCATATTTTTTTGTGTAGAGGGAAAGTAAGCAACTTTATTTTTACTACTGCGATTAATAGTGTCGGCACTTGATTAATAAATCACGTTAGAAATTGAAAAAAACACTTGCACCTTTGGTAGTTATAATTTAGAAAAAAGCAAGCATGTATATAATAATATAAATAGCAAAAAAATTATTTGTAAAATATAACAATTATTCTAATATTTATAATAATATATTTGAGAAGAAGAAGAATAAGAATAATAATAATAATAATAATAATAGTCGGCTACACTTTAGCATCAATAAAATAATAATAATAATAGTAATAATAGTGTAGTAAGTATTAGCAATATAATATAATACTATTAATATTGACCATTTTTCAGAGTAAAATCCTGACTGCACTCGTAAGTCGAAAATGGCATTTACTAATACATGTTAAATTATATCGTTGTCAAGGAAAAAAGTATATGCATTCTAAAATCGGTAATAAGAACATTTTCTTTTCATACCCAAATAAAAGTTCCTTTGTTTCTTCGGTACAAACTAGTTTTACAAATTTGTGTATGCGTCTACGTTTCAAAACTATATCGATATGTATACGTAAACGCAAAACAATTTCAGAAGGACGTAATATTTTCATACAATTGTTGAAACAGAGATCACCCTCGGACGTCAATTTTTAATTCACAGAGATTAAATATTCATAGCTCCGTGCACTCCTTCCGTATTTGACGATTATGTTGAAAACGTTGATGCAGCGAGAGCAATATTAAATAAATATTATTTGGTTCACTTACGTGTGCTATCCAATCATGTAAACGACAAACTGGATTTATCGAATCTTACATGACGGGATAATACGACACAGATGCAATCGAAACCGCAAAAATGGTTTATAAACTTAGAAAAGAAGTGGGTCAAAGTATTGAGAAACTCAATTTGATTGCGATACGCTTAATTAATGAAAGTGAAAAATCAGATCTTCGATTAGCAGCTCAAACTGTCATGGCAACGTAATAATTAAAGACATATTCGAAGAAAAATTCGCAAACATCCGGTTCCTTTAATTTTTATCTTGGTGTTTTTCATACTGTTTCATCATTTATGTATGCAGGTCAATAGAAACGACACGTCAATGTGCTGTTGTAATAGTGGCTTTACTTATCTATATGGAGAGATTCATACTGTAGAATTCTGGCGGACACATTGTGATTGAAAGTCGAGTGAAGATAGTTGATACTGCCGTAGTATTTATGAATTTTAAATTTATATTGCATTGTAACTCTCTCTATTAGTCATTAGTTTTTTAGTCTTTGTTCTATTCCAACACGGCTTGTAATAATGTAATAATGTAATTAATAATTAATATTGACTTATCATTTTGTAGTTGTATATAAATTCACAGGGGATTTACTTTGAGAGATTTGTATATAATCGGCTATGTATTGCAGACTTGTGAAATATATATAGTCTGGATCTCTGAGGCAATAGGTTTCTTTAGCAAAGGATGTGTAAATTTATAATATATTCGTTATTTTATACATTCCAATTTCAAAACCAATAGTCTTTAATAATAAAAGACAAATCCCCGACTAACATATTTGCATGTCTACTATTCGTTTTTATCATGAAGGATTCTTTTTATTGATGCAAGTTTTTCGTAGATTTTGACAATCGACCTGACACAAGAACACCAACCGCAGCCGATATATCCCTTATATGTATATCATACCGCAATCCACGTTGCTGCACACACATAATACATGCCACGAGGCAAAATGGTGACAAAAAAATAAAAGCTTTTCACCATTCATTGACACATTTAGAACGATCGTTCGTAGCCTCTGAACAAAGAAATATCGATATTCATGTACTAGCAATAAACATAAATATGTACTTACATATATAAACTTATTTATAGTTACAATGTATCTATCAGGATTGTTTGTACCTTTTTCCATTGTATTTCCGTAATTTCGCGATTAACTGTATTTTAAATTATATGAAGCAATCGAACCCTTTTCAGTTTGATCACCATCTTATTCCTTCATTATTCTTGAATAGTAAAGATAACTTACTCGAGATAATACTAATCGAATCAAGTTTTTTATTATTATAAAAAACAAAAATGACTATCGAATATTTTTTATCTTCCCTATGCGAAGATTTCTCTCGATTATTGGAGTGTTCGGATGATTACAATGTGAAAATTAAAGTGGGCCAAGAACCCGATTATCGAGTTTTTGATGCACATTCGGTGATATTAAGGGCGAGGTCAAGTTATTTTCGTGCCGCGTTATCAAAAGATTGGGCGAAAAGTGAAGGAGACAAATTGGTTTTGTTGAAACCGAATATTTCACCAAAGATTTTTGAAGTTGCTTTAAGGTAAATTTTATTTTTCATTTTTTTTTCCTCTGTTTCATCTTCGATTTAACGAGATTTACCTTTAAAATGTAGGTTTATATATACAGGTGGGTTAGCGTGGGATACTTTAAAGAGTGCCGAAGATCTTCTCGATTTATTGGTGGCAGCTGACGAGATGGGACTAACAGAACTTTTATCACGCGTGGAAACACATTTACTTTATCAAAGATCCGAATGGCTAAAGAAAAATTTCGTGCTTGTTCATCGAACAGTATTCAAAACGGAATCTTTCAGAAACTTGCAACAATTTTGTCTAGAAAAAATCAGTCATGATCCACAGAGTTTGTTCAATTCCGAAGATTTTACCACGATCGATCACAACCTCCTGTTCTCGTTATTGGAACATGATGATTTGCTATTGGAAGAAATTGACATCTGGAAACATGTAGTAAAATGGGGAATTGCGCAGAATCCAAATTTACAGTCTGATCGAATAGAAGAATGGACATCAGAAGAGTGGCAGAATCTAGAGAAAACTTTGCGAAATTTCATTCCATTGGTGCGGTTCTCGCATATAAATTCATCGGATTTTTATGCTCATGTTCGCCCATATCGTAAAATTATTCCCGATGAAATATTTGAAGACACGCTTCGTACTATTCTAATTCCCGGGTCAAAACCAACAATCGGCCCATTTCTTCCTTCACGTGGAGAAATTCAATCAACACTGATTAATATACAACACGCTAGCATAATTTCAAGTTGGATAGATCGTCGTGATCCTTTACATTACTACACTCCCGCCGACTCGCCATACAAATTCACAACATTACTTCGAGGAACACGCGATGGATTCTCCCCAAAAATATTTAGAGAACGATGCAACAATCAAGGCTCGACTGTCGTAGTTCTCAAGATACATGGCAAACCTCAATTAATTGGTGGCTATAATCCAATTCATTGGGGATACACGGATAAAGGATGGGTCAATACAACACAAAGTTTTCTGTTTTCGCTTGGTGATGGCATTAATCTGGCGCACTTGACATTGAGTCGCGTGCAGAATGCCGAATGTGCTATTTGGGAGAACCATTATCGTGGTCCAAAATTTGGCTATTTGGATTTAGTGATGGGTTTGAGTGGACATTCATTCAATGAACCGGGAAGCTGTCAGTGCCAACGACGACAATATGAAAAGAGTATTGTCGATTCGTTGGAATTATTTCACGCTGATGAGTATGAAGTATTTCAAGTTATTTCGAAAGGTTAACCCCTCATTTTTAGTAGATATATTAATTAGATATTATAATTTATCTTTTTGTAAAATATTAATGGACATTTTCGACCAGAGTATTAATTTTTAAAATGTACATGTTAAATAGATTTCGAGAAAAATAAACAGTGCACAATCGATCATTTTTTGATCGAGAGATAAGGCTATACCCTAAATATACAAGTGAACATTAACGTGGTAACTCATGATTTTGTGGTCTGCATTAAAGAGGAACAGTAACGGTAACTCTGAATTCCTTTTTTGTCACAAAATACGGAACATAAAATACATATACACAGTCGTTGGATAGCGATAGTAAGTGGAACTATCAAAAATGAAAAAAAAATACAAGACAAAGTTTCCGGTGGTATGTTGATTTAGAATTCCAGTTTTTTTTTGTCTTTTTTACTCTTTTAACATTCGATCGATTGCTAAATGAGGAGTTTGGCTTGGTTCTTAGGCTCGCATCAAAAAGATTATGCAAATGGACGAGGACGTGGGCAAGGTTGCCCAAGCGACACCGGTCTTGATCTGTAAGAGTTTTGACTAATGCAGCAATGCTCGAGGTTTTCCATCGCTGTAACTGTGGCTTCTTTCCTTGATTCTCTTCATTAATACGTTGGCATTGATTCTTTTCTAGCGAAAGCCCTCGAATTGTTTATGCAGTCTCTGATCGATCAAGCGTGTCAAGAGACACGAGCTCGAAGCGCAAAACGAATAACAGTGTCTCATTTGTGAGTGCACCCAGAATTACTCCTCGTTCTCGATCATTTGTTTTCTCTTTTGGCTTGACTTTTTATAATCACACACACTTTCTTGAATAGAAAGAAAACGATCATGACGACAGAACAATTCGATTTCCTAAAGGATGTAGTAGAGAATATCCCCGATCCAGTGGAAGAGATTGGAGGCGAAGGATCTTCCTCCAATAATAGCAATTCTAATTCAGCCGGTAATAATAGCAATAGTAATAACAACGATAATAGCAATAATGGAAATATGGATGAAGAATCATCCGAGCCACAACCAAAGCGTAGAAGAAGGCGGAAGAAGTAATTATCGTAATTATTTTCATACTGAGATTATTATTTTTATACTTCATCGTTAATATTCATATGGACTTTGATTTTTTAGAGCCACCGACGATGACGATGACTTTGTGGTAACCACATCTACATCGGTTGCAACTCCACGGACAAGACGACGCAGGTAAGTTTTCTTTTTTATTATTTATTTCGAAATTATAGACCATCGATATTAATTTCTTTTTGATATAGGGGTAAAAACAAGGAAGTTAAAGAAGAGGAGGAGGATGCAGCGTAGAGAAACGCAAGAGAGAACACATGATAATAATAATAATCTGTATATGGAAGAACAAGTTAGATGTTGTCATGGTGATGATGAATGTGAAATTGATTGATGGACGCGAAAGAATCGTTATATTTCTTTATATATATAAAAAAACATTTGTTCACCTTATTTCGTGATTTACTTTGCTTTGCTTTCACTTACGTAAATCCATCCTCCTTCTTCCTCTCCTTTTCAAATTGGAACCTTTTCCCCCGCAACGATCATTCACTCACATCTGCTTTAATTCTCGTGTGTATGGGATGAAGATAAATTGTCATCATAACCATATTATAGCACTGTTTAGGATTGCACTTTCACACTATAACAAAATAATTACTATTGCAAAGATTTTCTTTTGGTTTTCACACATTGTATGTATTAGTAATACACAGATCTTTTATTTGAAATAACTAGTTTCGCCGGTTGAATAAAGTAATAATATTATCATCACAAAAAACTCACTCTTGATCAAGATGTTTATCGACTATTGTGAGACGTTATTTGTTTGTACGATTAATGGGATGCGTAGAAATTTTATTTCCTTTTATTTTCACGTAAAAATATTCAAAATTTTCCAGCAGAGTGAAAAATAAAATACAGGGAATGACTTGTCGCCTTTACGTCTAGTTTTTATTTTATTTCGATGAATTATTTTTAAACGTGATGAACTTCTGCAAAACTTTGTATTTTACTAATCCTTCACGATAAAAAATCATCACATTACTCATCTGCCACATGTTCACCGCGGTGAAGTGAGAACTTCTTCAATCAGGCCCACAGTCTTATTAACCCGTCACATCCAAAAAGATTGCTTTCACGCCCCCAAATCAAAACTAGGGGTGTGTACGTGTGGTTCTCCGGGGGGGACGATACTGGAATAATTCAACTTTTCTAAACAGGCGAAATGGCATGCGTTACTCCATATTCCGGCAAGTTTTGTTCATAACTCGTGCGTGTCTCAAAATTCAAGAATATCATCAAGAAATGCGAGAAAAGCACTTTCATCACATGGAATGTCTGTCATTGGCTCCTCTCATGCCTCTTATTAGAACATCCGAACATCTTGAGCAGTATTGTATAAAGAAAAACGACAAACCTAACAAATCATTTGAGACATCATACTGTGCAAAGGAGATTGAATGTGAAATCTCACAGGATATGTCGTCATCCTAAACTATTCGGGGAAAGAATGTAAAGCCTGAGGCATGTAAATGTAAGCTTACCTAATACTTAAACTGTTGCCTAATTTGTACTAGTATTCTTTTTCCAATATCACAGTTAATAAGCACTTAACGTTGATAATCAAATTGATTCTATTTATTTAATACTGTATGTAAACCGAGAATAAAACCTCGGATTTAGAAAAACTTGGAAGGTATTATTATATTTATGAATGTGCGTTTTGTTTATGCATTTATTTATATATATTTATGTGATGTTATATATGTGTGTGTGTGTGGGTGTGTGTGTGGTGTGTGGTGTGTGTGTTTTTATACAAAGAAAATAGAAAGGAAGAGAAGAAAAAGAATATAAAGAAATTAAAATATATAAATATATGTATAATTGTTTGTGATTTTATAGATTTATATTTTCAACTCAGAACAGAATAGACGAAACAAAATATAATATAATAGAATATAATAGCATGTATAAATAATAATATTGATAAATGTTTTTTTTGTGGTGTTACAAATAATTTGTAACAGAGTGCACGTGAAAGAATTGTGTGGATGGAAATATACATATTATACAATATATGTATATACTGAATAGATTAAATTTTACATAAAACCAAAGAAAAAAGAAAGAATAGGAGGATAAAGAATTAGGTGCGTTTATAAGAAGTTAATGTGATTGCGTATGATAATACACTTAGCTAACCTTAGTAATTGTTAATCCACAACTAATATTAAGAGTAGTAATAGTTGCTGACTGTATACATATACATATACATATACAAATATAACATACATACATCCGATACACAATGTCTTGTATATGCACATGTATGAAACTGATATATCGTCCTTAATTGTCTTTGGTTTTTTGTTTGACGAGAAAAGATGAATGGAAGGAGGAGAAATAAATGAAGATGATTGATTATGTATTACTGAAGAGTGTAAATTGTTCGTAATTGTAACATATTTCCATGACACATATTTCTCGCAAAAAATAATTTTTGATAATGTTAATTTTTGATATTCTATGATTATTTTTTGGAAATCTACTGTTTGCTTTTGCTTTTCTTGATGGCATCCCCCATTCTCTTAAAGCAAAATCATCACGGCCTGCTGCTACTAGCATTTGTAATCCCGTTCGCCGATTGATTAATCAATGAATGAAGATTGCTTAATGCAGAAGCTACAATTGGATTCCCGGCCGTTACATTAATTGTGACGACGTTATTTGTGGTGGGTGTAATCACCGCGGCTACCGTTGGATTAATCACGTTGCCATTCCCACCATTTAGCATGTTCTGATCGTCGTCGTCATCGTCATCTTCTTCGGCGAATTTTTCGCGGTCGGCGACAAACAGACTACTTTTACTAATCACTCCGGTTTTGACGTCTTTTATAAGGTCTACTACTTGACGGACTACCTTGTCTGGATCGACTTCAGACTTAACATCATCGACATGTGCTTTGTATAAATTGGATACCTACAAGTTAAACATGAAGTTAATAATAATTAATGTAATCGAATAATCACATGCTGAAGCAACGTATACCTTATAAATGGTTCCAATCTCATAGGAAGCTCTTAAAAAGAATTCCGCATCTTCGTCGATTTTTTTGAATATTGTCTGGAATTCAGAATCATCTTTAATCCTGTAAAACGAAAAAATGTTATATTTTAAGACGGATAACGAAAAAATGGGATCAAATAAATATTAAAGAAATCTTAAGCTTACCGTGATGCAATATCTTCTTTACGCTTATCACGTTCCATTTGTTTAACTTTTTCTTCAATGAAAGGTAAAAGTTGACTCAACGGAACATGATCTTGGTCATAGACCCAAGCTTGAGCCAATTGATTTAAGGAAAACCATCCATTGTCAACAATCCATCGAACACGAGTCTGGAAAGTGACACCATCCATCGGACGTTTGACCATCGCTTTATTCCAGAAACTTGGACTCAAGCGAGCTTCCTTCGCTGCCCTGTCGACTAATTCCAGTCGATCAAGACGGTTTCTTTCGAATGATTTAATCTTTGCAATTGTCTCCTCGATACTAGGACGTTGACGATTGGCTTTATCGATGGTGTAAAAATAGGAACTGGCTGCAAATTGTGTTGACGAGCTTGGACGTCTAGGTGGATCATAAAAATCTGCCATAAGTCCCAGACAACGTTTATAGCAATCTTGTGTTTGCTGTGTAATGTGCTCGGGAGTAAATGTTGGAACTTCGGCCAAAAGACGTTTCATGAATTTTTCAGCGCGAACAATGTACATAACTGCGGCTTTTTTAGGGACAGGGATATCTTCTTTGGAGTAAGAATAGATCAGTTGATGCGAGAGATTAAAAAAAAAGTTATATGAAAAGTAACTTGATTCCACTTACTCTTCACAGCAAATCTATATTCTTCCCGTGCTTCGGGACAGATTAAATGTTCAGGACCTTTATAATCTGTATCGAGATACATTTTCAATTTTTCATCAATCCAATCTTTGCGTCGCAGTATTGTATTTGCTCTAATGATGTCTTTAGCGGCATCTATATGATTTGATTTGTAAAATCGAGTTATTTTTGCCTTCGAAATCTAACGGTCTAAATCATCATATACTTACATTCCAAGCATCCGCAATAGCCATCATCGGTCTGACAAAAACCATTGCAATTTTTTATGAAATCTTCATAACCACGATACATTTGTTCTAATCTATCAGGCGGCTCGATCATTTCTAAACATGTGGATAATCCCTAGTTGGAATTACATGAATTATATTAGGATGATATTCTAGCTTTTCCAAATGATAGTGCTATCATAAAAGATCATTAACACATACTTTTGTCCAAAAGATTTCTCGATTTCTCATCCTACGATCCAGATTTTTTTCATAGATTTCTCGCAACAAATTGATATACTCCGGAAGCTCAGTAAAGTACCAATCAATCTTTTCCCGTAACTTTCTTTCTAATAGTTGGCGACGCCATGTTTCTTGATTTCGAATCATGGTCATATCAGCTTTAAGCCAAACTTGCCTCTTACGAACACGTGCAAGGTAAGAATCACCGCATCTTTCCGGTGGAGGTTTCTTTCCACGTCGCGCCCACCATTCACGTGCATCTCGTAGGAACTTTGATCCCTCCAATTCTTTACACAAAAAGTCATCCTTGGTGATTGAATTCTTCCATGTATTGTGCACGGATCCTTCAAATATTTTTTCCCGTTTAAAGTGGGCAAGAATTTCTGCTCGCGTTCTTGCAGCGGTCAGTGGGACTTCACTGTCATGATTTTGATTGCCGAGGATGAAATCGTCATATATTCGACGAGTCTTGAGATCTAAATCGACTCGTAGTTTTTCAACTGCAATACCATCACGCATCAAACTATTTTCTAATTCAGTTAATCGTTCCACACGAGGAACAACTACCGTTTCTAATTCATGCACGATCTCTTGTAGACTCTTTCGCTGAGCCTTACTTTTTCCACCTGTTGACGGAACTGCCGAATTATTGCTATTAGAACTTCCACTACTGCTACTCGAATTGTTGTTATTTTGCTGGTCCATTGAAAGTCGAAGACGCTTTCTGGCCAAACTGTTATTTGTTTTATTAGAGATATACTAAAAAAGAGAGATGAACGGTGAATCTAATTTATTTAACATAGAAAAATCGCTAATGCAGGAATCCACTCATTCATACCTCATGAATCTCTAATTTTAATTCCTTGGGAAACCACCATTCATCCATCACCGATAAATCAGGTTTAAGTTGCAGGTCAAAGAAGCATTTTAGAATACCTTTCGTTCTTTGCGTGAAAGCTGCTTCTTGCTCTTCTTGTTTTCTTTTCCTTTTCGTGTTATCCATGGTGAATTTCATGGTCTGACGATGGGTCACCTCTTTATCCAAATTCTTAGTACACTCTGACCATTTTTGTCTCCGAAGATGGTCGAGATGTTTACGTAAGTAAAAGGTGCACGGTATGCCAAGATCGTACACGTATGTTTTCCAAGGCTTATTAATTTATCATCATTGTAAAGATTTGATCAGATAAGATGAATACAATAGGCAAAGATTCGCGCTCGAATAATATATAAAAATTTCTTTGCATACCTTCAATACCTCGATCTCCCTTTGTGACAACATGAATGCATATAAAGCACTCTTGTTGATCAGTTGTCGGACCACACAGAATCGGCAGAGACGTACTTCCCAGATTGGTATTGGGTCGCCGGCTTCACCACAAATTGTGCACACTTCTGTAACGTAATATTTGTACGTTTCTACAAACTATCAAATTCGATGAAAAGGATTAGTGTTCGTCTTTGCATCTTATTGAAAAAGCAACAAGATACACCTCTTTTTTTGTTACTTTGATTGATTAATTGGTGCTTTTTCTGCGGGTTGTCCCCAATCAGTAATTATTTTATAATTCATGTTTTAAAAACAGTAATTTACCTGAATCTATGATTGCAAGAGCAAAATAACAAGGAATTTGATTAGCTAAAAATTTGGAATAGCAAGGATACAAAAATCATATGATTCACGGTATATATATATATATATAAACTTGCCTTCCAATCAGAAACTTTCAATTCTCTGGAATCTTTATTGCCAATGGAAGTGCTCTTTCGAACTGTGGGCAAAACAGGAGCATGAATTACCCGCTCCTCATCGGTGATATCAAAGGGATCAATACAATGAAGGGCCATCAAATTGTGATACAGGAATCTGTAAGGGCTGTGAGGACCACGAATAAGTTGATAAAAAGATTTTGAAACTTGTTCCATTTTCGCCAAAGAGGGACCTAAATGAAACACACTTTTCAGTATATACTATTGATTACAATATATCAGCAAGACTGAACAATTCGATATTCACTCACCATCTATCGATACCGAACGGTAAGTAGAGATGTTACACGAATCAGTAAATAATTTTAGCGAGAAAACACCATACATGAAATACGCAAGTTTCACTCACCAAGAAATTCAAGTAAATAGAGGATCATATCTACCGGCATTTTCAGCAAGTGACTAGAAGAGTGACAAATTACATCATGATGAAAATTTTTTTTCTTTTTTGCTTGTCGGAATGGTTGCCTGGCAAGACGTTTAGGCACTCTATTATTATTATGTGGTGCATTTCTTTCGTGTTCTTCACGTTCACGTTTCTCACGGTCTCTTCTATCATCTCTTTCTTGTATTCTAATGGAACGACGCATGGAAAATAACGAGTCTAAGATAATACCGCGATCCAGTGTTACTGCTGTTATGGTAATTGTAGTTGGGGCAAAAGAAAAACACAGAAAGCCACTCTAGTCGAAAGAACTTTTTATGAAGGATGTTGTTTTCCTGGTTGTTCGTTGTTCTATTTATTGGTGATGTGGAGAGAAGAGAGTTGGTGGTTTCTTTTCGGAATCCAAACTCTATTTTTTTACAGTAGTGATAGGTGAAGACTGATGTATGATGGTTTGTGCAGCAGGCGTGAGCAGCAGCAGCTTCTTGGAGGGTTTTATACCGTTCGGTCGAGTTGCACCTCTTCTCTTCTTTCTGCGCCTTCTATAGTTTTACTCTATTTGGCAATTGTAGAGAGAACTAGGGAAGAGGGATGCAAATGTAATTGGAGGGAGCGACAGATAGAGTGAGAAAGAAAAGTTAGTGTGAGAAACAATTGAATAATACGCAATTAAATAATTTTTTGGTTTCTTCTCAGATTGATATCAATATTCATCAATTAGCTTTTTTTTTAAGCGTTAATCTTGTGGAATGCCTTAAATTCTTTACTGATAATGATAAAATTAGGTTTTTAATATGTAAAAAAATGGGCTAAATATAGCATCCCAACAAATAATAATGTGTTAACACGAAAGACAACGACGACGAAAGTAACTTTGATATTTTTTTGACTAATTATTATTATATTATCATCGTCGTCGTTGTTGGTGTTATCATTATTATTATATATCAACTGTTATTATCATTATTTCTATTATTACTACTGTTTTCATTATTATTATTATTATTATTATTATTGTTGTTGTTGTTGTTGTTGTGGTTGTTATTGTTATTGTTATTATTATTTATTTGTATTAATAAACACGAGAGACGAACAACACATTTACCTTGGAATAAAAAAGTTTATGTTATGGAGTAAATTTTTTAGTAGAAGAGAGAATAACTTATTTGGTCTAACTCCTAGAAAAGTTATTATTGTATATATGTATATGTGTATATATGTTGTATTCGTAATGGGAAGAAGGGGAAAGGGAAGAAGAGTAAGAGGAAGAGAAGAAAATATATAAAAGTTGAACGGTAAATTGAGAAGAGTAAAAATAAATATTTGAAGAGCAAGAAAGAGGGGGGAATAAAAGAAGAGTGTGAATGTATTGATGTGTGTGTTTGTGGTGTTGTGTTGTTGTATTAGTTAGTAGTGTGTGTATGTGTATGTGTTGTGTGTATTTGGAAGAAGAAAAAAAATTATTAAAGTACAAAATCGATGGGCGAAAAAGAGTAGCAACAGTAAATAATGATAGTAGAAAATATGTGGTGCACACACATATATTATTGAATAACGACAATATTTTTATTGTATGTAAAGGAATTGATCTAGAGTCAAGTTTTATTATCACATTGATTTATTTTAATTATTGATTCATTGAGCAAATTGATTTTTTTTAATATCGATATAGGGTGTGGTGGTGTTATTGATGTAGCACCGACTTGGCCGGCCTTAATCAGAAAATTTTAATTTATGATTTATTATTAAAAGGTACCAGTTCTTAAATAACGATAATCCATTCGGTTAACCTGATGCTAATGAAATAAAGAATGAGTTAATCAATTGATCAAAGAATACCGTGAATGAATGAATATATGCGTTTCAAACCAGGATTTTCTTATCCATGGTTTGAATGTTCCGTTTTGTTTTATTTTCCTGGAATCCCACCAATTTATCATAAATATTGGTATTCGTCTCTTTTTTCCTTTCACTTTCTTTTTTTTATATCTTTTTTTTTTTGAAGAAAATTAAATTCTTCCCTTCCTTGTTTCATAAATATATATATATATATAATATTAATATACATCAACCATTATGGGCGTGGTGAATTGCTGGGTAGTTTTGGGCGTCGTCGTTGGATTGGAACTTAAAAAATAAGGGGGGTGACGACAATGTATTCCTATGATTGTTGTGTCGTCTTTTGTGAACTATTAAAAGCGAGTTTGTGTGCGTGTATGTTGTACCAATGTTGAAAAGGAAGAGGCGATTATAAAAAACCTTGTAATATTTTTTATCATCCCCGTCTCATTTCATTCCACTCAATTAATTATTGTATAATTAAAATTGAATGAATGGGGCTGTCAGTCAATTCATTACGTACATGTAGTATCTATCATGTAACGTCAGTGATTTAAAGTTTTTGGAATTACGACGACAAAAAGCTCAACTGATTGTCATGTTGATTGTGTTGACGGTGACGGTGAAGAAGAAATGAATGGCAAAAGAAAGAAGCGAGAAGAAAAGGGAGAAGGAACAACAAAAACAAGAATCAATGCATCTTTCTTATTGTTGTTGATCCATATTGGCTTGCTTGATGCTCTTTTTCTGCTTCTATATTACCGCCTTACGATTATAGTTACCACCACAACCACCACTACCACCACTACTACAATTATTATTATAACACTTGTGCACTTCTATACAGGATTTTCAATGTAATCGCATAATTTTTTTCTCCTGTATCTTTTTATTATTACGTATTTTATATTCTATTATATTTTTAATTATATTCTATACAGTAACCGAAATACGTAATGACGACGAGCATTTCTTTAAACATCATTTATGGTTAATAATAAAATCAGTGTGATAGTAGGTTAAATGATGATGTGGGGTTGAGGGATTAAATAGTTTTTAGAAAAGAAAAAAGAATGGATGGGTGGTCCTTATACGATGATGTTCATTTAACAATTATTATTATTATCATTATTGTTTTTGTTGTTATTTACTTGAATTCTGGCTCCTACATTCGATAATAATGATAGTTATTAATAGTAACAGAAAATGGAAATGCAAAAAGGAGGAGAATGTGCATTGATATTTCTGTATGTATGCAAGTAACTCGTTAGTCTAAATAGTGTGTATGAAGTAATGGTATACATACAATATCTTCTATAAATATCATTGGTAAGAGTTGTTCTTTCTTTTCTTTATGTTTCTGTGTTCGCCCAGAAGAAACTTGTGTCCATATATAATACACACATATATATATATATACACACACATATATATACACATATTATATACGTATTTGTATACGCGTAAAGAGTTAATCTACTACTATTGCGGAGTATTTTGTGCACGCGTTTTATTATGTATATGTATGTATGCACGTGCATGTTAATGTATTGTATTATACTTTATTGTTAATAGAAGGATGTGACACCGTTGTGGTTTGTTTGTTTGTTGGGCGGATGGATAAAGGGATACAGAAAAAGCCGAGATTAGTTTACATGTAGATTATAATACCTGTTCATTTTCATTTAACAGATCTATAACAGGAAGAAGATACATCAGCATTGTCGTCATCATTTTGCACACCAAGTTTTGTACTGGTAAATTCGTCTGGGTGTTTTAAATTTCGCTTCATTTTTAGCTTAATCGCTCGTTCGATTATTTGGTATGCTTCATTGATCTCGCTTGCTTGTGACCATATTAGAAGAAGAGAGGCGTGAACGGAGGAGGATCGAAAATTCGAAGAAAATCATTTAATTATTTTAATTAATTTAAATGCAGGCCAAGAAAAGGTTGCGGGCCGGCAGTAAAAGAATTTAAAAAATTATGGCTCAAAACTGTCATGTCATGCAGATCATCCTTTTCATTCTATCAATGGGTAAGTCCCCCATTTTACAACTACTGCATATTTCTATATCCCAGGTGAGCGAGCGTAAAATCCTTGAATACTATTGGATCACCTGGCTTATTTTCTGATAATTATCTACAAATACTCGAAAGGAATAGGAACAATGTGGTGAATTTGGATCAGAATTATAATTATAGTTACTTAGTACCACTCGTTCTAAGAGAGGTAACCTTTTTTCACGAGCTACTTTGTGGTAATAATGAAAATTAGTGTCGTCATCTGAAGCTGTTTCAATTCCATGCCTACGAACCTCTCTCAAAATTCATGTTCTATCATAATGATTTCATGTAGTGATATGGATGTATGTTTTTTTCTCAACGAATTGGGAATGCGTAATAACTTTTATTCCAAATTTTGAATTATCCATCTTTTCTGTCTCTGATATTTTTAATATTGATCCAAACCCGGATAAAGGCTTATTATCAGGTACCATTGTATTAAAGAAAGGTTTAATGTTTGTAATATTTATGACTGCTTTTTTTATTAATTAAATATAGACAGCAGTACCTTTTACGTATACAGTCAACTCTCTCTAAATGCACATGAAAATCAAAACTGAGAGTGCATTTAGAGAGTTTGTGCATTTATAGAGAGCATTTACTTAGTAATATTATTAATTTGAGACCGAACCAAGGTGTGCATTTATAGGATGAAAACATAGTGTGTGCATTTAGAGAGAGTTGACTGTATACTCAATATCATCTACATCAACAGGCATGAACGTGAAATATACAGGCCGATTTTGTAAGAATTGCGATTAATCTATTTTCGGTCTCAGCAACAGCATTACGAGTTGATATGCCTAACTTAGATAAAAATGCATTACTTTCATTAAAATCGTTAAATTAAAAATCCTATTTGTAAATAAAATCTTTTTTATAAGAAATTTTGAAAGTGGTATATTTCTTTTATAACCTATTATGCAAGAATAACATTTCAAAAAAATAATAACTTGAATGTCAAATTCATTTTTTAAGTATATAATTTAAAGTTTATGAATCAAATTTTTTTACATTTCAATAATTCATCTGCTATAACTATCTTGGATATTTTGTTTGGATAAAGACGAAAAATCAGCTACAACTATACAGCCACGAATGGTGTTATCTGTTTTGCATGTTTCATTCTTTTTTGCTTTGATTAAAATAGTTCGTTTTAATATCAAAAATAGTCAATTTGTTCGTTCATTAATGATAATGATGCTCTAGTGTATAAACCTTTGATTCATTATCAAGTATGTTTCCATAATTGACTATACCAAGTTGCAATACCATTTCTTTGTAAGTCACAATTAATTTAGA